CACACACACACACACACACACACACACACACACACACACACACACACGTACTGAAGTAATCACATCTCAAATCTCACCCTCTGTCCTCTGCAGACGACGGAGGGATGGCGGAGGTGTATCTGATGGATGGCGGTGTTCAGATTTCTCACAGAGAGATTGAAGGACGAGTGCTCATCACAGACTTTAACAACGTCCCTGAGGAGGATGGAGTGAGAGTTCACAGACAGGTGAACACACACAGAGGGAAATACATTGTATATTTGCCATTACAGCTCATTTAAAAAAAAAAAAAAGAAGGTATTACTTGTGTGTCGAACCCTCTCTCTCCTCTCCAGGCCAGTCAGTGTGACAGTCACGGCACACACATGGCGGGGGTTGTGAGCGGGTCGGACTCGGGTGTCGCTCGAGGCGCCGGTGTAAACCTGGTCCGTGTGCTCAACTGTCAGGGGAAAGGGACCGTGTCAGGAGCTCTGGCGGGTAGGACTCTGTTGGAGATCATGTGATGCGTCCAATGCCACCCAACTGGGTTGTTCACGTTTGAGAAGCATGGCTTCAGAGAGCCTGCTAGATCACTCTAAGCCCAATCAGTAGTCCTTTTGCATGAAAAGCAGGTGTAGAAATGGAGCTGCTGTTGCATGCAACCATGATGTAGAAACACATTGGCAAAGGAGAAATGGAGGGCAATCATTTCTGCAGCAGCAGGCTTTCCTATTATTCTTGAAACCAAATGTGTTATCTTGCTCAGGTCTGGAGTATATCCGCGCAACTTTGCAGTCCCGCCCGGTGGCTGCTGTGGTTGTTCTGCTTCCTTTCATTGGTGGATTCAGCCGTTCCTTAAACGCGGCCTGTCGCGACATGGTGGCTAACGGAGTCGTGGTCGTCGCCGCTGCGGGCAACTACAGAGACGACGCCTGCCTCTACTCACCTGCTTCAGAGCCCGAGGTCACACAACACTTTTCATCTTGAGCAGCCTGACGGATGCATTTCACACACATCCCTTATCTTAACATCTTGTGTGTGTGTGTGTGTGTCTGTGTGTGTCTGTGTGTGTGTGTGTGTGTGTGTGTCTGTGTGTGTGTGTGTGTGTGTGTGTGTGTGTACAGGTCATCACAGTCGGGGCCGTTAACTCGGCGGACCAGCTCATGTCACAGGGAGTGGGTGGCACCAACTTTGGCCGCTGCGTCGATCTGTTTGCACCCGGCGATGACATCGTGAGCGCCAGCAGCGACTGCAGCACCTGTTTCACCTCCCGGAGTGGAACCTCTCAGGCTGCTGCTCATGCTGCAGGTACGCACACACCTGAAATAAAACACCAGTAACTTTAAAGTCATCTGTGTTGCAGCTGCAGTATAAGTGCTTCATAAGACATTTTTTGGTTTGTGCATCTGCAGGTGTAGCGGCGGTGATCCTGTCGTCCAATCAGAACGCGTCCCCGGTGCAGGTCCTGCAGGTGATGCTGCGTTACTCCGTCAGCAACACCATCAACTTCCTCTCTCTGTCCGACACGAGTCGTCTCATCACCCCAAACCTGGTAGCCGCCATGCCTCCCGCCAACGGCACAAGTTAGTGACACAACGGACACTTTGATTTTTAGCACGACCGGCATCAGCGAGTAGTTCACACTGTGTGCCTGTGTGGGTGTGCAGATGGGGAGCTCCTGTGTCGCTCGGTGTGGTCAGAGAGGTCAGGGGTCACGAGCACCGACGAGGCCGTCAGCCGCTGTCGTCGGGGGGAGGAGATGATGAGCTGCAGCGGCTACAGTCCTGACGGTGACCACGTGGGAGAAACCATCACTGTGAGTTCAAACTGCTCTCTGATCATCACTAAAAACACTTTGATCTAAAGTCTGCTGTTCATTAAAACCCTCACTCGGTGTGTACAGGTGCACAGCGGGCAGATGGAGTGTGTTGCGCACAACGCTCCGGGGGTTAAAGGTGTGTTCGCTGTGGCGCATTGCTGTGTGACAAGTGGGCTGCAGTGCCGGATCCACGCTAGTCCTGAACCCGGACGCGATGCCGAGTGCGTCGGCACGCAGCACCACCTGACCGGTACGTCTCAGCTACAATCTGCTGGAGTGTGAAATTACAAAGCTTTTTGCTTTTTTGACAATTTGGGGAAATACACTTACTTGATTTCTTGCTGTGAGTTAGATGAGAAGATCGATATCACTTTCGTGTCCGTCCATTACATTTGGAGTGAAGCCAGCAGACGGTTAGAGACGGAAGGAAAATGACTGGTTGGAGGAACTTTATGTTGGACTTCCTCCTCAGGTTTATTAATACTTAAAAGGCACAGAGACAGATGCACGAATGCAGGTGAGTGATCATCTGTTTTATTTGCCCCTTGGCTCACATAGAATGGAGAACGAGGAATATGGGAATATTCTGCTACGTTCATTTTGCACACGTGACGGCGTCTTAAAGATTTCAGCGGGTCATTCATATGCCACTTTTACACTTTAATTAATCAGATTGTTGGACAGTCCTTTGGACAGAGCCAGGCTAGCAGTTTACCCCCGTTTCCAGTCTTTACGCTAAGCTAACTGTCTCCTGCCTCATATTTAATGGAGAGATATGAAATTGGTTTCAATCTTCTCATCTAATTCTCAGCAACAATAACAAGGTGTTGAATTCAGTCCAACTTGTAATTAAAGTCCCACACTGTATATGAACCAGAGTACCCGTTAAACCCAGAGGAAGCTCTTTATGCTGCATTTAGAACACCGCGGTCAATTATGCCAGTTCCCATGGCAATCACCCTGAGAGTTATATGTGCTCTCCGCCAACATAAACAGCAGCTACAGCACGTGTGCGCTGTAAAGAGCAGGGCTGTCAGACGCTGTTAGAACACTTGAATGCATCGTTGTTACTTTACATTGTCTTCCTCCTTCATGAGGATTCCTGCGTGATGAACGGGTCAGCGCTCCTCTGAGGATCACTGAACCTCCTTCAGAGGAGCGGAGAGAGAGAGAGAGAGAGAGAGAGAGAGCGAGAGAGAGGTTCTGATGCACAATAGATATCACGTGTTCCAGCATCACGGCAGGTCGGGAATAGTCATGAAATGATGATCTATTGGCTTCGTGTTGTATTTCGTGTCGTCAGGACCAAAACAACTACGATGGAAAGACGATCAGTCCACCGAACAGATTTTCACATTAGGATCCAACTTAAAGACAAAAATACTTTGTGAATAACTTTAACTTTAAAAGGATCTCGACTTAATTCTTAGAAAATCTTTATTCTGCATGTAGAGATAAACGGCTCATTCTTCAAAAACATAGCAATTCTTATTTTCAGGTGATTATACACAAAAAAAAATACTTATTAATATTACATAACATTTCTGCCAATACATCCCCCAAAATGCTGCACACTGTACCTTCAAATAAACAAACCATATTCTTACAGTATGTTTGTATCTGCCGTTTCATCTTGTTTTGATGTAAAGCATTGTGAACATCTTGTGATATGATGCTAAACAAACACATTTGAATTGAATTATTGGGCAACACTTCTAAAGCCAGTTTGAGCTCATTACAGCGTGTCGCTCACGTGTCTCCAGGCTGCTCCTCTTGGTCCGCTGCCTCCATGTCATCCGACTCGCGTCCACATGGAGGTGATCGGAGGCGCTGCGTCGTGGACGGGGTGACGTCTCACGCCGTGTGCTGCCACGCTCCATCTCTAGAGTGCAACCTGTTGGACAACAGATCAGCTGACGAAGATCAGGTGAACGTTTTATCGCTCAAATGTTTGTATTTGTGAAAAATTATTGACGTTTACACCGAGTAGGTGACGGATTACACTCCACAGTTTGTGTGTTCAAGAAAAGAAAGGAATGCTGAGCATACTTTAAAAAATTGCTTCTGTTTATCATTCAAGATAAACTTATTTCTCTTTGTGTCACTGGAGGGAATTTCCCCCAGAATTCAAAGTTTTCTTTCTGCGATTAGCCCTGTGGAGACAGATTGTTGTTGAGAAGCTGTAAATTTACTTTGTGGTTGTTTTGTGCCTCTTAGTGGTTGTTTTGTGTCTCTTTGTGGTTGTTTTGTGCCTCTTTGTCGTTGTTTTGTGCCTCTTTGTCGTTGTTTTGTGCCTCTTTGTCGTTGTTTTGTGCCTCTTTGTCGTTGTTTTGTGCATCTTTGTGGTTGTTTTGTGTCTCTTTGTGGTTGTTTTGTGTCTCTTTGTGGTTGTTTTGTGCATCTTTGTGGTTGTTTTGTGTCTCTTTGTAGCCGCTTTGTGTCTCTTTGTGGCCGTTTTGTGTGTCTGTGGTCATTTTGAGTCTCTTCCTGGTCGGTATGTGTCTTGAGTAGTAGGTGAAGTCCATGGTGACCACCTTCTCCTTATCGGCCTCAGTTAAACATCCTAAACTGATAAAAATGTCTTTGATCACATCCTTACTTATTGTTTCAGGTGGAGGTGTCCTGTCCATCTGGCTGGACTCTGACAGACTGCAGCGCCGTCTCTCAGGGCTCCGCCATCATGGAGCCAGATGCTAGCGGCAACAGTTGCCGTGTCCGCTGCGCCACGGGAGACGAAGGGGTCACCGGCGTCGCAGTCTGCTGTCGCGTCCGACCAACGCAGCCCGATACAACTCCCCACTGATTTAATGTCCAACGTCTTAAAAACAGCTTTGACTCGTCTCTTCTCTAATGTTGTCATCTTTAACTGAGACTCTAAGCACTTCTGTAACACGGTTTGTGTGCGTTTCAGTTTTAGGGATTAGATCAAAATATGCTTCAGCACACAAAGTGTTATAATAATGCCTCCGACTTGCTTATGTTGCCTCAGTTAGTTCCGTCTTTAAACTGTATATAGTTTGTCAAATGTAACCAAATATTTCTGCATCTTTTACAAAACAATGAGCTTTGACAAACATTTCATTTGTGTTAAAAAAAGAAAGAAGCCTTGTAGTATGAGACACGTCATAATCGATTATATATCGACCTTATGTCGACGTAACACAGCAGACATTAAAGGTAAAATGTGTACGATGTAGCCGATGTAGCGCTGCGCTCCAAACCAATAGGGGGCAGTATTTCACCTCTACTACCGGAGCCATACGATCTAAATTTAGTAATCAGTTAAATAAAAATAGTCGATCTCTCTGCAACCTAACGTCGACGCTGTTAACTCTTCACATTCTGTTGATAATATTCTTTAAAAAAAATACCAGGGCTGTTGTTGGACAGTCTGTTTATTGCTTATGGTGATTCCCAACTGAGTGAAACGACCAGGAAGTCTCAAAGTGGCAGCCATGATAAGAACTGGTTTAATTCTCTAAATGCAAATCAAGTAATGTCCCACAATCCTCTGCTGCAGACACCGGCCGACCTTTTCTTCTTTACACGAGATTCATCATCACGTAAATGTATTTGTTTAAACTGTTGGTTTTTTTTGTCAGCACAGAACACAAATATTACAACTCATCACATTGTGTGCACCTATAATTTATGAACCTTCTGTTTTTACCTTTCACAATAAAAGCCCTAGACGTATAATATATTTGCAGAGTATCTTGCAGTTCCGTGTCCGTTATTCATCAGGTGTAAATGCCTTCAGGAGGTGTGAATCTAATTTGGACGGGAATCTTTAATTGAATTGTAAAGCAACAAGTTAGTCACTGTAATAATTTACTTATGGAAAAAATAAAAAATGTGCTCTTAGCAACGTGGTCGTCTTTTCCTTACATTTATGAACTCTCCTTCACATCTTTCCTCGACTTCATGACGTTCGCCATCGAGGTCGAGGAAAAGTTCGGATGAAATCTTTTTGGGACTATTTGACTGCAACCCCAGGACCCTGAGACGCAGGCAGCCAAATGGAACTCAGCCATCATTCATGTAATTATTCACGCCAGTTATGTTCCTACTGTCCCAACTCTTCAGATAACACACACAACTCACCACACACACTCTGATGAAAGCGCTTCATGTTTCTGATTGTGAGTAAAGAATCAGGCGGCACCACCGCTGTGTGTAATCAGCCTGATTTGCTTCATTAAAAATGGAGTGTAAAACACGATGCAGTTTAAAGAAAGCTCACTCACATGGGACTTAACCCCTCGATTCAAACACACAGACGTGAGCATGGAGAGCTGAGCCGCACTGATGAGCGGACTGAAGGCTGATTGGCTCTGACGTCATCACTGCTGCAGTGATCCGTCTCATCGGGCGGCTGATTGTTCTCGACATCATGTAACAAGAGGCCGAGGTCACAGCTAATAAATGGATTATTCTTGTCCGTCAAGACCTTTTTCAAAGCAGACGACGTGACTCATCGCAGCAGGAAAAGCACCGGTGTTACAAATAACGAGGCTCTGTTGAGTGAAGTATCTCGTGCATTAAAACTGCCTAGTATGTAGCTTGTGTGTACACAACAAATGCTTTAATATTTACTACATTGGGAAGAATTTCTGAGACGTGAGCTTACTGCACACGCTCCACTGCCCCACAATGCATTGCGTCTGGGGGCCTCGAGACCTGACGTCAGCCGTGAGAGATTTTGAGCAGAGCTGAAAGCTGTTAACATGTCACTTTATTAAGTGCTAACATGTTTTTAGGCGAGAGAGTAAATGTTTTATATTCAAATAATGCCCGTTTGGACATTTGAATGCTGATGTGCGAGCAATGAGCCAACGAAGGTTTGCCTCTCATCTGGGAGCAGAAAATAAGGACTTAAAATGTTCAGCATGTACTCGTCATTGAGCCAACTTCAGTGTGAACAGTCGAGTAAAATCATACTTTACGGTTAGTTTAGTGGGCAGTAAGCAGTACATTCTGATGGAAGTATTCAGTACGCAGCCCAAGAACCTAAAACTGAAGCAGCTAAATGGAATTCAGCCATTACTCGTTTTATAATGTACACCTGTGCTTTACCCGTCGAAACGTCTGCAAGAAAAAAGGTTCAGAAGATGTAAACATGAAAAAGGTAAAAAAATCAAAATGTCATTTTTATAAAACGTTAATGCTCCAGTGTAAACATACCTTAAAAAAAAACAACTAAAAAAAACAATGTTTACAAAAGGTTGTGCATTCCAGTTTATTTTATATCAAATTTCCCCTTAAATCAAACTCCGATGTACAAATTAAAACTCGAGTTTTAACATGCGTTACAGAATCCTGCGATGGCAAGAAGTGAACTTCCCAAAATCGAATGACAGTAAAAACCCGTAACGATGCCACGATATCCCGCCCCCCCGCATCCCAGGATTAAAACCAAAGATTGTTCCGACGTTTCTTCTTTTTTTTTTTAAAGTTTTCTTTTTCTTTTTTTTAAAGTTTTCTTTTTCTTTAAGTAGTTGTGGGTGATGAAACAGTGAGTGTTGGGGGGGGGGGGGCAATGTAGGAGAGACTGTTGACTGAATGCGACTCGTGTTGCCATGAAAACACTTGGCTCATCGGGGGCGGGGGTGTTACACAGCAAACAACATGGAAAAGATATGGGGGGGGGGGGGGGTCCTCAGTCACACCGCAAAGACCAACCTTCACCCCTTAATGCCACACATGCAAAGGTGACATTCACATCTAGTGAGATAGAGAAGGGGGGAGGGGAGGGACAGAAAAAAAAGAACGAACGCATTGCATGATGGGTTCTCACGCTGTAAACATTGACCTGTTAAAGCTGAGATAAATCGGCTAATGACTCGTCTTCAGAACATCTCGTGTGGAAGAGTTGCTTCCCTAAAACCATCCAGCGTGAACTCGGTATCTACAAAGTGTCTCTGAGAAGAAGCAGCATTTTGTTCTTGTTTGCTTTAAACCATCATCGAAACCCTTGTCCTGTCGCCTGAACCCCGTTTTTATCAGGGTGGAACTTACAACCCCCCCACCCCACCCCCCCCAAAACTCCCAACATACACACAGAATCAACAACCAATGGTTACATTCCTACAATCCTTCGTCTCGACACACAGAGGTCTAACCGGGGGATGAAGAAGCCCTGTTGTTCTACAGCGAGACGATTTTAAACCACAGGAGACACCAAAGTGGAGCAGACGACGACCCACCTCCCACACTGTGACGATACAGTGTGGGAGGTGGGACGGGGGTGTGAGGGGGGAGAGAGAGGGAGATCGGGAGGTTAAGGCACTTCAAGTCTCCCGACGATTGAGGGACGATGGAGCTACGTTTGGGGTTCAGCTCCTCTGTGTGTGTGTGTTTCAAAGACAAAAGCAAAAGAAGGCGACGCAAAAACAAAACCTGATAAAGCAGAGGTAACAGTGAGGCAAGAACGAGCTGCTTCTTTGTGTTTGGATGAGTGACACACGCTTGCATGTTTGCTATCTTTCCCCCACAAGTTCTTCTGTGCGTGCGTGTGTGTGTAACCGTGGCACCTTAAAGTAAAACATGCTCCTGAGCTCCCCTTCAGTCGGCACTGACGGCCACACCGCGGCTGATCCGTGCACTTCCCAGATCAGCTCTTGCATAAGGCTCGAGTCCCCCCCCCCAAAACAAAACAAAACAAAAAAACATTCCTCTGCAAATATTCAATCCAGAGTCAAAGAAAACTAAAACACAGGCGATGAGAGAAACAAAAGAAAAGCATAAAAAACCCAGCACAGGAGGAGCGTCCATGTGTCTGCTTAGTGGCACTGAAACATGTTAAGTTGTTAAAAGCAAAAGCGGCGGCGAGGAGGCTCTAGAGGAACCGACCAGTGCTGCTGTACGTCACAATAGAACTGGGCCGGACTATAAAGTGCATACTTAACCCCACCCCTCCCAAGTGCTCCTCTGTGTGTGTGTGTGTGTGTGTGTGGAGGTGTTCCTGTACATATGCACACGCGTGTGTTTGTGTGTCTGAGAGTTCCTCTAGAGCGGCTGACGTGACCTCTCGCAAAAACAAAAAAAAATGTGTTGCATGGCTGTGGAGAAGAGCGCAGGAGACTTTAAAATATTATCTTACACTGGAAATTACACCTATGAAACAAATCTTTACAATATGAATAAGTCTATGTAGATACATTGGCAAATATGAGCAGAAAATTGTTAAAACACAACCCAAACCCATCCTCCACCTCGCTGTCATTCTGAGTGAATGAATGAATAAAAGGATAAACTGAAGTCATCCGTGATTGAGGAAGGTGTTTTTCTTCTTTTCTTATTCTTTTTTAATGTACTTCTGCCCGTTATGATAATGCATCTCCATCATCGCCCTCGGCGGCTCTGAAAGGAAGTAATTTACGATTTTATTCATAGCTCCTCCGCTGCCGCAGCGACCGAGAGAATTAAGTGTTCCGACTGGCTTTGTTGTGGAGTCACTAAATGTCACCGGCCAATCACGAGTGCAGCTCTTCCAGTTGGCTGCCCGAAGCCGTGCCGCCGCCTCCCCCCTTTCTCCGGAGGCCTGGAGGAGCTACGGGTCCACGTCTTCCAGGTCACTCTTCGAATCGCCGAGCATCATGGGAGATTCTGACCCCTGGAGAGACAGACGATAATAACAGGGTCGGTACAGATTTTTTAAAAGTTGAATTCAAGCACTTTCAAGGTACCTGAACCAAAAATGTCAAGACCCTAGACGTCGACTATGAATGCAATCACAAACAAAGTTTACCGGAGTTCACAATCAAGCATTACTGAAGAAGAATATTCAAAATTCAAGCTTAACCCTGACCTTATAAATAAACCACTTTTCAAACTTTCTATAACCAAGAAATGTTTTTGGGAGGAGAAGGAACAAATGGTGAACCATCCCTGTGCTGTCACAGTGGGATTATGACACTGATTATCTGGAGTATTCATGCTAGAACCAGTGTGACAGCGTTGAGCTGTGTGGGCATCCCGTCAGACTCAGCAGGAGTCCCAGAAGAATGGATCCGCTTAATAACAACCGTGGGAGGCAACGAACTGCCTTTACAGCTTCTGACAGAAGCTCGGTGAGATGTTCCATTTTCGTTTCCATTCTTCTCTGCGTGAACAGAGCGATGATGAGCTGCTGTAATGCGATGAGTCATGCTAAGAAGGCACCGGGGCTGCTGACCTGTCGGAGGCTGCGGTCGGCGTTTTCGTTGGCCGGGCTGCCGTCGGAGCCGTTGCTGCTGCCGGACTGCTCCTTCTCGTTTAACAGCGCCGTGGCGTAGGCCAAGGTGTCCTGCAGGGTTTCACACACAAGACAGTGAAACAGGAGTGAGCCAAGCGGAGAGCAGACAACATCAAGTAGAAACGTTTGTGTAGTTGTGGTGGAGGAACTGGAGGGGGTTGTATCATGTATTACTGTGTGTGTGTGTACCTGTGCAGAGATAGTACGCTGGAAGGTTTTGTTGGTAGATGTCTCATTGGACACGTTGCTCTGTGGAGTCCAGTAGTGTTCAGTCATCTGAGGGCAGAGAGAATATGATGCAAAAATTTAATTTCCTTTTGCTAATTTATTGCTCTCAAAAACAGAGATTTTGTTGCATGTTAGTTGTGACGTCTCTCTCTCCCCTCGTTTCCTGTCAGCAATCTACCGTCACTCTCCAAGTCAAAGAAAACCTAAAAACGAAACACGTTTCTTCGACATAAGGGACGGCTCAGTCGTTCAGACGCTTGCCTTTTTTTGCAGCCACTGTACTGCCCAGCTCCAGTGACCAGACAAGTCCTTGAAGTAATCTTTGGCTGGAGCACACCTGGTGGGAGGAAGAAGAGGAGGATCAGAGGGATTGTTTCGCCCAGTTTATCTGTCAAATAAATCCTGAAAGTATCACAATCACTACTCCTGGACTACTCTTAACTTCCGACACTCAGACGAACTCACTTCTGGGCTAACGTGACCAGGAACTTCACACACTGGTAGCAGCGCCTGCTGTCCACGTTGTTGCTCTGGTGCATCAGAGCTGAAAAGAAAAAGCCCTCAAGTTCGATTTTTACACATTTAATAAATACATTTCATTCCAGAGATGCACCGATATGCAGATTCTCTTTCTATGAACCAGTGAGCAAAGTACCCTTTTGAAATACAAGTGCTCCAGTATTATGTTGAAGTCCTCCACAGACTCAATAAGCAAGATTTCATTGATGCAAGCAAGGGCAACCAGGCGGTAACCTCCGGTTCCGCCGACTAAAGCCGATGTGGAAGTGTCTTAAATCTGCATTCTCTCTAGTGTCCACCAGGGGGCGACTCCTCTGGTTGTATAGAAGTCTATGAGAAAATGACTCTACTTCTCTCTTGATGTAGTACCTCAGTAAATATTGTAAACATGAGTTCATGGTCTCAATCTCTAGTTTCAAGTCTTCTTCAATACAGCATGATGTTCATTTAGTACATTATGGTCCATTTAGAGTCACACAGACTATAAAGTGGGGTATACTTTAGGGGCGGGGCTACACGGTGATTGACAGGTCGCTGTCGCTACCAGAGCCATACACGTCGTCTCTACGTCACTCCTCCACATTCTAAATATGGTCACTTCAGTTCATCAGTTGCGAAAAAAAAGAGAGACAATGTCCTCCTTTAATGCAGGTTCACACAAAAGTGGATCAAATTTGTCCAAAGAGGGTTCTGCTTCGTCCACCAACAAACGTGAAGACAGGATCACGCGTCTCTGTGTGGCTGTGACATTACCTTCTGAGCAATCGGTGTATCTCTATCTAACAGCAGTTGAGTTCTACTTCACTGCTTTGGGCATCAGAGCAACAACAACAGAAGTCCTCGTACCTAAAAGGCCTTTCTCCGACTCAAAAGCATACTTGAGTCTCTGTGTCTGCAGAGGGTCCTCCATTACCTGAAAGATTTAACCAATGTTAGAAACTCATCACGACAGCAATCGTATCTTACAAAGTGAGCGATGAAAGAGGTGAGGAGTGAACTCACGAGGAGCTCCTGCAGCATCTGAAAGATGTTCTTCAGTTCATGAGGTGGAGCCGTCTCCAGCTGGGTCTACGAGACACAAAGTATTCACAAGAGTTTAGACTCGTTATTGGCAAATTGTCTGTCAGGTTTCTTCCTATGTCTTATTATTTATTTTTACCTTGAGCAGCTGCAGCACACCCAGGGAGAAGGGCTCGTTACAGTACGAAGAATAGGTCACCATTTCTATCAGGAGCGACAGGGGACCCGACAACTCCCGCATGGCAAACATCACCTGTAAATACCCACCATGAGAAACATCAGGCTAAGAGGTTCTGAGCCTTTTCCACACAGTTGATTCTTTTGTATCCCTGAATGACAAGAACTGCATGTCTGGTTTAATGCCACAACACGTGGTGTTTTTAATGTCACCTCTAGAAGGTAAGGCTGTCCCTCAGGAGTGAAGAGTGAGGCCAGGATGTCGGCGTGGAGAGGGAGGAGCTGGGTGGAGGCCGGGACGCAGCTCACGCGCTTAAACCTTTCTGGAGCTACGCAGGAAATAAAAACAAAAAAGGATCAGACTAAGAGCTGGATCGTATACAAAGACGTCAACTGCGAAACCTGCAGTGTCTCACCCTGCGTCCGCTGGGGGTTGAGGTCAGAGTGAAGAGTGATGAGGGACAGAGTGTTGTGGAGGTGGAGGAACTCCCGAGCCTGAGCTGGACTCCACCGCCGGTTCTGTGGAGACACGCGGAGGAAACAATTAGTAATGTGGGCAAAAAAAAAAAAAATCACATGTATTTGTCTACTTTTAAAATCCTGAACGGAAAAGTTCAGGGGTCAAAGTGAAAGTGTCAATACAACTACACCGGCTCTACCTGGTTGTTTTGCCTGTTGGGTCCCAACAGGAAGATGAGCATCCGGCGATAAGCCGAGTGTTTCAACAGCAGCTGACAAGGACCGCATCCCTGAGGAAGACCAGAGGGACACATTCAACTCAACGCGTTGAACACTGAAGAGAGCAGAAAGGTCGGAATCTACGCATCAGCTGACGGCTTCTTACCCTCTGAGCAAAGTTACTGAAGAGGCCGAAGTACTGCGCGCAGTTTTTCACATTCTCAGGAACGTCTTTGTCCAACAGGGACAGCAGCGTGTCCGTCAGGTTGTCCACTCCCGGGTCTCCGAAGTGAAGCGCGCTCTCCAGAGTCCTCTCGAGGATGGACGCGACCACCACCCTCACCTCCCTCACACTGCACTCCAACAGACAAACCCTGAGGAGACGTAATGATGATCAATATCTGTGGTGGAAGTGATAACGATGTGTAAACGTCCTCAGGGTTCAGACACTGAAGCAACTTTATATTGTTTACGTCATGTCCGCTAAGCAAAGGAGCAGCCAAACGTTTCCTTTTGTGGGTATTCATGATCTTTTCCCTCTTAATTTATTCAGAATTTTATGCCTCTGATGAAGTTTGAAAAAAAAACAAACAAAAAAAAAAAACCCTGTTAATTTAGCAACAAAACGGCAATAAAGTATAAAACATTCCATCAGAAACAATCAATATGAAATAAAGGTAAAATTATGAAAAGTTTAAGAATTAAAATGGTAAAATATGTAGTAAATTGTGGTAATATAGTCGTGTTTTATTGCACATCAAACGTAAGTTATCGGAAAAAAACCGAACTGACTTGAAGCCTAAATAAACTCGTGTATGTGAGAACGGATGTGTTGGAGTTCTAGACACGGAGGAAGACAAGAAGTCTAAAACAATGTTTGTGTGAGAAAACACATTTGCTGTCTTTGTCCTTGAGACACACAGCTGAGTGGGAAGCTCCTTATCTGGTCTCTTTGGGAAGAAGACGAGTGATGAGACAACCGATCATGTCTCAAGGACTTCATAGCAAAACAGAGCAGAGCAAGACAACAACTCTCCCTAAACACCCCCCCCTCCTCTGGCTTTGTTTACAATTCTACAATCAGCATCCAGCCAGCGAGAGTGTGGGAGTGCGAGGACAGAGAGACAGACAGACAGAGAGAGAGAGAGACAGACAGACAGACAGACAGAGAGACAGAGAGAGAGACAGACAGACAGACAGATATAGAGAGACAGATATAGAGAGACAGAGACAGACAGAGAGACAGAGAGAGAAGCTGTAGGGGCTGCAGCAGCGTTATCATCAGGGTGGATTATGTGACCTGAGGTCAGAGGGTTTAATTTTCAATGATTAGAACGAGCTGTGATCTACGCGTTATCACATATCACGAGGACAGAGACAGACACGCTGCAGCGATGTCAGACAAAAACGGTTTTGTTTTCAAGTCTGCTCTTTGAGCTCTTTTTAAATGCTGCCCTCTTGGCCGGGACTCCCTCAGAGAAGAGATCTTAATGGGACGAATCAAATAAACTGGAGTGATTATGTGTCACTTTAGCTGCAGAGCTCAAACACTGTCCCTGATCTACTGTCTGACGAAAGACTTTTGGAAACATTTTGTTCAGCAGATCGCCAGAAAACGGCCCTTTGTTTCACTTCGTCCACCAAACAAATATTTCTGCTCCAAAATGGCCACGTGAACAAAGTATCCAAAAAAGGGAGAAAAGTCTTGGTAAATTGAGGTAAATGAGATCCACGTTTAACATCAGTTTACGAGCTCTCACATGACTCGTGCCGTATAATCTAAGTCTCTTGTATCCAGTCGAACACTCACTACTTCACATACACCTGCATTTTGGATAAAACCTTTCTGTTTCCTCTTGTGCTTGCTTGTCCTCAGAGTGGCACTCCTGCCTGTTTTACCGTAAATCTATGTGTAAAGACGTGCGAGAGACGTGTTGATATAGTTTTGCTGTTGTTGAACATTTTACTTCAATTAATCAAGACTTTTAAATTCCCCTGTTCACCGTGGAGGCGCGCGAGAGAAAAAAGTTTTCTTCAAGAACTCAGTGTAACACGGGGTGAGTAACTGATATAGAAAAGCTCATTCTGAGGAGTAATCAGCTGAAATAATTACAAATGTAGGCGTTGTTCTTTTCTCTCATTTGCATAACAAACAATCTCTTCTATATATTCTATAAACCGCTCTGTTGTGCCGGCACAGTATGCATCACAGACGTGTAATCGTGAGCACACTGTACGTGATGCGACAGGTCTGCGGGTGAAGCACTGACCTGGTGATCTCTCGCCCCTCTGGTCCGACCAGGTACTGCACCATCCACTGGCACGCCTCGCAGCTCTTAGACAGCAGCACCTCCACCGTCGCCATCCACTCCTCCGTGTCCACCCTGCAGGAGAGACACAGACGAGTGCTGCATTCATGTGGTGTCGGAACAATCGGGGAAAAATGTGTTCCAGACGCCCCTTTAAGTCTGAACTACAACTCTGGCACACAACTTGCTGAGCTAAGTGATTTTAGGGAATAAATGCTCTTTGTTGTATACCAACGTAATGTTTTAAACATTTAAGCCTCCAGGTTGTTTTGACTCAAAGCTCATGAACTCCCCAGCTCTGGAATCGTCCGAGGAGCCCGTGAAGGCACCACGAACGGAGGTAGAACACTGATGCTCGTGATGAGGGACGTTCACCGTCGACAGGATGTATGCGCGTACGTACCGGAGCTTCTTTTTGGTGTGCAGGTAGGTGTGAAAGAGAAAGTGGACAGCCAGCTGAAGACTCTCTTTGGCCATCGGCTGGTAGTCTTGGTGCTTCAGCTTTGTCTGTAACACACACACACACACACACACACACACACACATTTGTCGATACTATCAGTAAACAAAACGAGCCAGAAGTGGACTCTTCACCACTACTCTGTCAGAAACACAAGCAGTAGAAGCACATACTGCATTGACGGAGGCCAGGGAGAGGGTGAAGTTGAAGTAGTCGCTGTTGTAGACGTCTCGGTTCCTCATGAACTTGAGATTCTCGTCTCTCACCATCTGATGGAAACACAAACAGAGACGTTCACGTTACGCTCGCTGCAATGAGCTTCTTCCGCCTCGTCACCGCTCGACTCCTCTCTACCTGATAGATGCTGGCGGGCATCTTCTCCACAAACAGACCCTTCTTCTCTCCCTTGCGGACTAGGCGGGTGAGGAGGGTGAGGCGGTCGTTGTTGGCTCTCGGGGGCCGAGGAGAGGACTGAGGGGAGACGTCGGGAGAGGACGGGGCAGACCTGTGAAACAAATAGAGACACGCGTTTACTGATGAAAGGGTTCACGGGGATGACCCTAAATACTGATTGTGACAGCAGCCGTGTTTCCAGTGAACTTCAGAAATCATTTTCATTTTGAAAATGTCGCAAAAATGAAACGTGAATAAACTGGATATAGGCTCATTTTAGGAATGTCTGTAATCTGCCAGTAAACAGTAGAAGAAGAAGCTCTCATCAGACAGGAGATTGACGACCTACAGGTGTGTGAAACCATCTGATGCGTTATAAATGACCCGATGAGAACGTTTACCAGCAGCTTTGCGTTTAGAGGTTCACTCACAGAGTCAGGTCCTCGGCCTCCTGCCTCATGATGCTGACTCGGCTCTTTTTGGGCAGCACGGGCGAGTTCTGGTCGCTGATCTTCTGATAGAACAACATGTAGGCGTTCCAGTACCTCCTCCGCACGTCGGGGTAAGGGTTGGCTGCACGCACACACACACACACACACCAAGGTGACTACGTGTTTGCATGAGGAAACAGTACGTGTGCAGAGTGTCACATATTTTTTAAACTTGAATTTAAAGGTGCAACATTTGAGATATGGTCAAAACTTTGGTTTAAAACCAACTGAATGTGCTCGCCCAAGACCGTCCTGTCTTGCAATACCACTTGTACCTCTAGAGGCGATAGCGAGTCATGAAAATGAATATTCATGAATGCTTGTTAGAAATTACATCACAAACAGAGTATTCTTATGTCTTATATGACATTATATGTCTAAGTGGGATCTTCATGTTTTTGTGACAGACGTCAGAGTTTATGCATTTTACTTACATTGGTCGTAAACTTTGGGACGGTACTCTCCACCAAAGCACTCGTACTCCAGAGTTTCGTCGTTCATGTCGAACTCCTCCACCACGTTGTCGTTGAACTTGTACCAACGTCCCCGAGCGCTGCCACTGAGACGAGGAGAAACGGAGATGGAGGAAAACGTCACATTAGAGTCAGATTCATCACAATTTTGCTGATTCAGAACCGGGAACTTCAGCACATGAGTAATAAATCAACAGTAACATAAAACTCAAGAAAGGTTTACATACTAAAACATGCACACGATGCTCGGATTCTGTTTGCATTCAGAAGTATTTCTCCCACAAGACTTCTGCTTTACTAAACACTTTACAGTGAAGCCTGACATGACATGTGGTAGAGCCATGTGTGCACACCTGGTCCACATACTGCAGTACAGGGTGAGGTGTCCACCTTGTAGTGAAACCAGCATGTCAGGTGACCCGACATCAATGACAACAGACTTCAGAATGTGTCAGCGTTTCTGTAAAGAGATCAACGTCCTGAGAACAAGCCGTCTTTGTCGTGGTATTAAGCGGGTTTAGGATATTAGCTCCTGTGGTCTCTTTACATTCCACTTCTCCAGCGAGCGATCCTGCCTTCCAGAGCCAGACATGTGGAGACGCTTACAGACTAAACCAGGACAGCCCACACAGAGTCTGATGCTGCCCCGAGGAGCTCCTCTGAAACCCGCCTGGAAAACTAAAGCAGCAGATTAACGTGCTGCACTAATCACCGCTGACGTGGCTCTTGTGTCGAAGTTTGACGGGAGCTGGAAAATACGATGCAGCACGAAACTCCGACGAGCAAATGAAACAATCAATGAGTTTCATTTTTCAGAGAATCAGTTCTGTTCATAACTAACAAATATTTATACATTTTCAGAATTTTAATCCTTTAAATGCCAATTACTTCACATAAAGCAGCAGTTGTTTTTAATGTCTAAGACCTCACACTCTTGTCAAATTTATGCCATAACCAAAGTGGTTGAACAATCCCAAAGCACGTCTCTTACCGTCTATCTTTAATGAAGGAGTAATAGTGACCGGCGTGGGCCTGGCCACTGTGGACGACGACTCCCACGAGTTCGTAGTTCTCGGAGATCGTGACTTTCTTCCTGGGCGATCCTCCCGAGGTCCCGTCGCCTCGCCCCTCGCCGCCCTCACCGCTGCAGTCCTGACGGGCCATTCCAGAGACGGTGTAGGGCTCCATGTTCAACACCCAGGGGAACTGTGCACCAACGACAACAACATCAGAGTCCACACAAATCAGACTCCTGGGATTTGAGAAGGTGTATCGTAGTGACTCAACATTTGTGATTTTAGGATGAGAAATGCATTCCGTACCCGGATCTGTTCGTCATATTTGATGGAGCGTCCGCTCTCCCAGTCGAAGCCGAAGCGCATGAGGTGAATGCAGAGGACGCTGGGCAGGGATTTGATGCACGTCCTCTTCACGGTGGTTCTCTGATGAAGGAACGTACACATGAGCGAGGCGTGACATCAGTGCAGCAGAATGAAAGCACGCAGAGCGATTTACACACCTTGTCCTTGCACTTCTCACAGTAGTAGGCATTGCTGCCCTCCAGCACCTCTCCCCTCACAAACTGGTCCAATGAGATCTCTAAGCTTTGGCAAGATGTCACTCCGAGGTTCAACGCCATGAAGGTTTCTTCACGCTCGTACCTGTGTGAGACAACAAAAAGAAGACGAAAGTTCAAACATCACCTGTGATGAGTCTCAAAAACGGAAACAAGCGTCTTGAATGTTCTCGCTCACCGGTGAGGACAGTCTTTACAAATCTTCTGGTCGGAGAAGATTCCCTGAAACGTGTTTTTGAAGATCTGTTCTCGACCCATTTTCTGCTTGGAAAGGAGTCTCATCGTTAATATAGATCATCACAACCAATCAGGTGAGAGAAGAACGTATCTTTTTCTTTTTGTTCTCTTTGTAATTGGTCCTTACTTTGAGATGTTCGTCAAGCTGATCCACCAGACTGGTGAAGAACTCGTACGCATCCTGCTGCTCTCTTACATACAACTCCTTGTTCCACATCTTGAAGATCTGCAGCAGACGGAACACATTTGCACATAAATATTAGCTAGTAGGGGTGTGTGTGTGTGTGTGTGTGGAGGGGGGGGGGATCCATTTATGTTAGAATAAAAATTCTTATCTTCTAAGATTCTGAATCAATTCCCAACTTCCCAAACTTGTTATTCTAAAAGTCACTGAGAAACACTAAAACCATTTTATGTGTATTTGTGCAAGTTCAGCACAAATAAATGTTACCTTTTACATTAATGCAATCGGTTGATATAACGTTTATGATCGTTACTCTATCATGAGACAGACTTTCACCTTTAATTGTTCGGTAATAAACTAAACTGACTCAAGTCGCAGTTTAACTGAAGATAAATCTTCACAGCAAGAAGAAACCTGATGGTAACAACCTGCTCAGAGATGTCTTCGATGTTTCAGACAATGACAGCATCATTATAGAGGCGGTGGACTTTTTGTTTTGTTGAGAAAGAGACAGAAATGTCTGAGTGAACAGCTGAGTGGTTGTGAATGTGTGGCGCAGACCTTTTAGTCGTAATGTGCAGCACAACAAACCGAATCACACTGGCAATTTGTCTCAAGATGACTTTAACTCATCATTATGAAGTAAATGCTGCTTGCACGATGTAATCGCTACAGAATAATGACACCGTCTGCGTCTGGATTGGTTCCCCATCAGCCTTGCTTTCAGTTCACATGCGGTTCTGTCGTGCCGCTGGTAAAATCTCCGGGAAAACGACGGCTCCTTTTACAGAACAAAGGAGGTGCGTCAACCATTGCGCAACCCAGACAGGAAGACGATGGAGCCTTTGTTTCCGGTAGCTTTCCCCGGTTACCAAAGAGCATCGATGCACCGAAGTAACTTTGGAAAACAAAACGCAGTTTTTGTGTCGGCTGCAGAGAGGGAGACGCTGCCGAGAGGCAAAAGAGCCGAGGACTGCGATTACTCTGAGAAGCATCGGGAATGACTTGAATTAAATGTATTTTAATAAATATCGAGCTTTTTCCTGAATAAGTCACCAAAGTTGTCGCTAGTAGTCGACTCTCAGGTCTTTGAACCAACAACAATACTACTTGGAAACACAAGGAGGAGAAAAGTTGCCACTTTAACAAACACACTTGTGCAGTAACATTTGAAGTCGAACGGTTGCGTTTAGAACAGTCGGAGCACGCCGAGCGGTCCGTTACCTTCCAGAAGTTCTCAGGTATGTAGTACTGCAGTTTGCTCTCCATCAGGTGGCCGAACAAAGACTGGACCTGGTAGAAGACGCTCTCCTCTGGCTGGTCCGTGTCGTCCTCGATGGACAGGAAAGCCTTCAAACCAAAACACACACATACTCGCTGATACAGGATGACTCTGTGAACGCAGAAGGTGAACGGCACATAAGACTACTGGTGCGTACCTCTGGGAGGCCGGGCTGCATGTAGAGCTGCTGAAACACAGCGTTCATGTAACACGTGGCTCCGCCGTTCTTCAACCCAACGAAACCTGAGACGGAGCGGCTCTCTACGGGGGGAAGGTACTGAGAGAGAGACACAGACACACACACACACACACACGGTTTGATTCACATTTAAACTACCATCCAACCCACAAACATTAGAGCAAGAAATGTGATTTCAATGAGTGTCTTACATCGAACTCCTTGCAGAGGGAAGAGTCGGACTGGTGGTGCATGGACATGAGCTCTCTGGTGATCAGCCGGAGGTTGGCCAGAGAGCTGTCTGCGAGCATCACCAGCACCTCGTAGGCCGCCAGCCGGCTGCTGGCTGTGCTGCACCTGAACACACCACGACACAGCGTTAGTGGCTTAACAATGTTTGAAATGGTCCAATGCACAGTAGGAAAGATTAGATGTAAGGGAGGGAGAGGACTAACGTGTCGTACTTCGGGTGGAAGTCGTGGCTGGGGGCCGGGGAGGGCGTCGGGTTGGAACTGTTAATGATGATGCGCGACGCCCGAAACAGGAAGTCGTCCAACAACTGCTGGATCAGAGAGGCACCTGGAGAAAAGAGTTAAGCATCCTCACATTACATTTGAGAGAGTAACAGAATACATGGAAGGTGATAAAATACACAATCAGATTACCGATGGGGATTATTAGCAGGTTTAATATTTTAAAAACACATTTTAAAATAAAGAATGCGAACATATTAGAAAACTTCTCTGGATTGATTGAGGTATCCAAAAGCAGGGGAGAGTAATTAAGTTGTGTTACTTTAATATTGTGATACTTAGATTAGGTTACTGACTACACAATTAGTACATTTAAACTCTTAAAGTAACCCTCCCAACCCCGTCATCTCCCGTAACTTCCTGAACAGGTTGAATGGCTGCGGTACGTTTCCCTCGCGTGCTCACCGAGATGCTCCTTCTCGTTGCCGCAGAGTGAGAGCAACGTCTTGATGAGCCGGAGGTGTCCTGCCAGGAGGATGTTGTCCGCCTCGCTGGTCTCCATCTCAGAGCTCCAACTGGGCTCAAAGTTGTCGAGCCAAGAGATCTCGTCCTCCAGCATCGTGGCTGAGCTGACTTTCAACACCTCCATCTCCGACGCTGGAGGAGGCGAAGAGAGAGAGAGAGAATACAAGAAAAACAGACTTTAATATCTATTAACTCAATTCCTACGTCTGGGACAATTCTTCATATCTAGGTGTTGAATCTTACTGGTTAGGTCGTCCAGAAGCTGACATCTTAGGTCAAAGTACTCGGTGCATTGAGACAGCAACCTGAGAGGAAAAGGATCATCAACACCAGACCTCTGCTAAAGTTTCAGACATGTGTGTGTCTCTTTCTGAAGTACCTCTGGTTAACCCCTCTCATGATGGAGGTAGGACTCCACAACGGCAGCTGGGCAGTGAGGACGACTGAGATGAGGAACAAGTTGGGCTTCTGGACTTCGGCGAAGGCCGACGTGTCCGTCTGGCTCAGAGTGTAGAGCTGATCACAAGCCACCCGGCGGATCTGAAGAGAGGAAGGGACAGAGGACGCAGCTGTAAACGCACACTGTAATGTTGGGGATGGATTTCTGCTGTGATGGTAAACCCTCTGAACGCTGGATTAAAAAAAAGCATGTTTTCTTTAATCAATTGCCAAAACTACACTGTTTATCACAGCCAGAAGCTGTGTTATACTGCACACAAGACATGTTTGAGTTGTCTCTGCTTCTAGACATGATTGTTCTGTTTCCACAGAGGTGCAGGACTCATATAATGCAGTAAGAAACGAGGCCGCAGAGAGTAAAATGTGACGGTAGCAAAAAATGCAACAAAACCTGCTTTGGAGTTCAGAGGGTTAAACAAAAGGAGGGCGTTGTTTACCTCTCCGCTGGGAGATCCCAGCAGAACATCAATGATGAAATCGTTGACGGAGGGAAGGTTGTAAAAAGAACCTGAGGAGAGAAACCAACCACAGGGTTTAATTGCATGGTAGAAGTCTGCACCAGTATCAGCTGCAGTATCATTACATGAAGGCCTAATGTGCAGTCATCATCATAAGTGGTGCGTTTGCTCCTGCGTGAGTCTTACACAGCTGCTGGCAGCGGAGCTGCAGACAGGTGACTAGCAGCGACAGAGCCTCTCGCGCGATGATGGTATCTTTGACAGAAACACACTGCTGTCTCACGCATATCCCAGCATGCAACGCTGTTGGCGTGGTCTCCCCCTCACTGCTGGAGCTGCAGTTACTCCCTGCAAAGAAAACAAAAAACAAAACATAATTTCATCTACTTTCGTTTCTTTAGCTTTTGTTTTGTGAAAACGGAAATGCTTCGACCATGAGCTGTTGGCAACAAAAATGCAGATGAGGAATGAAGTTAATCACCACACACACACACTGACTGATCAGCTGATGTGTTAATAGCTTGTTGAGAATCAGAAGATCTAGCACCCACGACAGTGTTCAGACAGACATTAGTCAAACTCAAGGACCGTAAAGCACATTTTTTAAATTTCCAACGACTTGGAAGGAAACAAATAAGGACCATAAGTCCAAACCTTTCAATTAAAAAATATTTCATTATCTAGAACATTACAAGCAACCAGGCGGCTTGATAACTATATAGTAGATATAAGAATGTAGTTTTTTTGGAGAAACTTACAAAAGGGTCCAAAACTACAATTTGAATATGATCCTGAACTTTAAATCGCCCTTTCAGATGACAATGTTATGTGTTTTGGGGAGCTCTGATTGATAAGACTAGTAGTTCATTCTCAGCTAAAGGTAAATAGGAGAATGTTGAATATTATTAGGGGCTATTATCAAGGTATTGAAGCACCTCTGCACCCGGCCACATTAACATGGAAAGTGTGCTTTCTGTGTCACCTGTACTGCTGACTCTGGTGCGGACCCCCTGAGGCAGAAGGGAGCTGTGGGTCTCTCTGATTGGCTGCGGGCTGCCAACCAGATCCAACCGGCCTGCTGCAGCTGCCCAGGTCAGACGCATGAAACAGGCCACAGTGGCAGTAAAGTCACCCACCTCCATGGTCTGGAAAAGAGGACGTTGTACGTTTACAAAACAAAAACAATCTGGGTGCTGAATGGTCGGTGGGTTTCATCATGGTCGTGTGTGTTTTACCTGAATAGCTACGCGGGCAGCCGGGACGATCTCCTCGACTCTGATGGAGGAGCGCTCAGACAGAGACATCTGTCTGTAGGACGACTTCTCTGGAGTTCCACAGAGAGACAGCTGTCGTCCCGCTCGTCCAGCGTTACGAAACGGACGAGACGACAGCGCCTCGTCCCTGATGACGTCATCGTCCAGCGCTGAAGGCATGCTCTGGCCAACCAGAAGAAACCTGCAAACACCAACAATTGAGTATGAAGTCTAACCAGAATATCAACCCCTTTGTGTGTGTGTGTGTGTGTGTGTGTGTGTGTGTGTGTGTGTGTGGGTGTGTGTGAGGCATTCTGCACCTGGCCAACTGAAGGCAGATTGAGTAGACTCCTTGTCTGGTCTCGTAGTCCACCTCTGATGGGATGGAATCTCTCTGCATAACATTCACCACCAGACTGCAGAGGAAACACAGAGAAAGAGTACAGTTGAGTGCTGTGTTGAATGTTTGTTTGTATTTTTACATTCAAAGCTTCTATATTTTCAAACGAAGCTTTGAATGTCCATCATACTATTTATGACGTCATTGTAGTTGTGTGGTCACATAAATGTAATTTATGGTGCTGTTAGATTGCTGCTCGATCAACACGTTAATACAGGAGCGTGTGGAGTTTTTTGACAGCAGTGAAGATGTTCTTTGAAAGGCTTAACGCCAACAAATATAGATTAAAGTAGATTATGTCATCAGATCAAACGTCTATCAACTAGAAGAACTCGGAGACATCGCACAAACAAAGTTGAGCGCTCTAGAAAAAAAGATGCTGACTGTAGCGCTTTATCTACATACGCGCTGCCACACAGAAATAAACACTATATTTACACCACCAACATAATATTAGGGTCGCCTGATCTTTATCTGCAAGTGTGAAATGTCGGGTTTAAACAGAAGAAATAGATTTAAATGTCAATGTTACGAATGAAGCTTTGAAGTTTCAAACTATTCAGTGCAGCCCGACTACTGTCAGAACTAAAAGTACAAAAGCAAACACCAGACAGTGACTTTTCTCCAACAGGTGTGCTGTTCTCTGTTACCTGAGGCCTCCTGCTTTAAGGAAGTTCTCACAGAAAGACTTGCTGCTGGTTTTTGCCATCTCATCGTCCGACGTGGGCATGAGCTTTGAACTCAACACCTGACACACAGAGAGAGAAGAAGAAGGGAAACAGATGTCAAAGTCACTAATCTACCTTTAGGCGAATAGAGAGAATATGATTATGATTATGATTATATATATATATATATATCTATATATATATATAGATAGATATATATTTATGATTATGATTATATATAGATAGATAGATAGATATATATAGATATATATAGATATAGATATAGAGATAGATGGATGAAAACAATGTACTGTGTTGACTGATGTGTGTGTTGACATGTGTGCGTACCTCCAGGTTGTACAGCACTCTGAAGGTGGACATGCCCGGGGCCGAGGACCTGAAGAGGGACTCCAAGATGGAGGCCGCACTGGGCTGGTGCTGCTGCTTGGAGGACATAGACGGAGAACGAGAGCCTGTACCCTGGAACAGTGTCTTCTGTGGAAAAGAGAACAGAACTGTGAGTTGTCTCTTTTATGAGCAACTGAAGTAAGTATTTAAGTACCTAATGTGTTAGTAAGGAAGACTGCCAGCTATTGAACCTGATGAAAGAGAGAGAATGTGTGAACCACAGGACGTAGATAAGACTTATTACAACACAATTAGAATGGAGAGCTTTAACGTTCAGGCGTACGGAAGTTCCCACGTGACCTGAACGCGTCGCTGACTGCTCTGACGTACCTGGTGGCTCCAGACGCTGGATTCTTTGGGAACAAAGTTGTCGAGAGCGTCCTGCACTTCTGGATCTGTTGGAATCAGCAGCAGCAGCTTCCTCACACGGAGGGTGATCCTGGAGAACACAACATACTGAATGAGGATATGAAGTCCTTTCTTTGTTGTTGTTAACAAGGTGTATGTGTAAAGCCCCTTTCCCACTAGACAGGAAACCCACTAACACCCACTAATATCTGGCTTCTGTCTTTAGTGGGAAAGGTTACAAACGACAAATGACTCTGCAGTCGTCACATTATTTATCTGCTCCAGAGACAGAAACAAGACAGCCGGGTGGACACGCTAATGTGTATGTGGCGCCCGTAAGTGAATACATAATAAACAAATTCAACAGGGATTTTGACAATTATTATAATTAAGACGTGCTAAACATACAATTAATATGCTCTCCTCAAAGCCACCAGACTCCAGTCAGACAACAGTCATTTTACCACAATGATCATCGAAACACACGTCAATCAAACTCGACAGAAACAAAATCAAACTCATCAAAACCCTCCGTTAGTCTTCCAACTGTTCCAATAATCAACAACTCTAGTTTGGTCAAAATAAAACATGTATTCACAGAGTTAGATGTGAAAAGAAACAGATGTTATATGATCTCATCAAAGCCACAAGACTCCATTTACACTGATCATTATAAAAAAACACTTCATCAAACTCGACAGAAACAAAATAAAACCATCTCTTTAAGTCTTTTCAACGTTCCAACAATCACCAACTCTGGTTTGAGAGTTTGAAAGAGAGACTGAATAGAATAAAAGATCTAAAAAAAAAACAAGTAACCACCAAAACCTTTTCCCTGCTCTCCAGCGTGTTCAACGTCCAACGTGACGCATTCGTGTTTAAAAAAAACCTGCATATTTACACGCTCATTTTGATTTAACTTAGAGCCGTTCCATCTTACCGGGTTTCATCGAGGTTAGCCAGCTGGTAAAGCATCTCAAACACGTTACACACCAAAGCCATCACCACACCGGGCAGAGACTTCTCCTGGAGACAGACAAACACAGACGCAGTGTGAGCGTGAGAATCGATGTTAGTATGTCCACAGTTATCTTTCAGTGCACAGCCATGTCGGCGCTGCTACCTGCTCCAAGGCGTAGGCAGAGTTGAAGACGGCGGAGCTGGAACTGCTAGAGGCCGAGGCCGAGGACTCGGAGCTGCCGGAGGGAGTGCCGGTGCCCGAGCTCTTCACGGTCAGGGTCTGCTCGTCACTGAAGCTGAGCTGGGAGAGCAGCTTCTGGTCCCGGTTCATGGTCATCTGAAACATGGTGGAGGGAGCAGAGAGGGGGCGGAGTGAGGGGCGGTTTGAGGCTGCGCTTCTGTGCATTGATTTGTAGTTTGTAACACATGATTAACAGAGGAGTAAAATACTTTGATGAGGGAGTAATGGGTACAATCTTATTGTTTCAAAACAAAAGAGCAACAAGAATCGTCACTTACAGAGTAATCAACACTTACCACACTGTCATTGGCAAAGATCTGCACATTATCCACCGGACAGCTCAAGTGCTCAGATATCTTCCACCGGATACTTCCTATTGTCTCATTACTGTGGGTCTGCAGGACACACACACACACACACACACACACACACACACACACACACACACACACACACACACACACACACACACACACACCAGGGTTATTTCCTCTGTAGATGTTACTCCACGTGATGAAGGGTTTATCACAGGTGCACTCGTAAAACTCTCACCTCTAAGGTGAAAGTGTCTTTGGTTGACTCGTAGGTGATGTGAAGAGTGACGGGGTGTCCGTTGTACGAGGCCCCGTGAGGTAGAATAGTGCGAGGAACCGAGTACAAATCCTACACGGAAAGAAATATATTTAAAGAAATGCAAAAATAAAACCCACAAAATAATCAACCGTTCTTTCAAGGCTTTCTCCGTCTTATTCTATTTTAGCTTGCTTGTATTCTATATTCTCTTGGGTGTTAATGGCTGTTTTTAATTGTAGTTAAAAGTCCTTTTATAAAGATATATTTCTGTTTTCTGATGTTTTATGTAAAGTGCTTTGAATTGCCTCGTTGCTGGAAGGTGCTACATAAATAAAGTTGCCTTCAGGGTCAGAGTGTCTGTGTTTAGACTAAACAGTTTATTGTAGACTTATTACACCCATGGTTAAATGTATGGCATATGCATTAACACAGATAAAATAAGGTGTGAAGTGAAGAAGACCTACCTCTATAGTGATGACGTAGCGTTCAGCCAGTAGCAGCAGTCTTTCGATTATCACCAGCTTAGTGGATCTACAGATGAAAACACAGAAGAGTTTCAACATGACGGAAAACAAAGTGTTTCTACTTGTGTGTGTGTTTTTTTAGTACTTCTTTTAGTGCCGAGGAAAAGGTGTTTGAATAGGTTTAGTAACTATGGTCTTACCCAAACCCCCCTCTGTACCTGGATGGTGACTGTACAGATGTGGCCACGGTCGGCATGGCGGTGGCAGTCAGCATCTTGGTGGCCCTCGTAACAGCGTGGGTCAAAGTGGGGCCCCCGAGGGCCGAGCTGGCTGCCTGAGAGCAACGGAGACACAAAAGAGTGTTCGGGTCTTTGATGTTCACAAATCTCTCCTACGAGCAAACACATTCCGCTCCTCTTCTTACCTCCAGCCGCTTGTAACAATCAGCGATGAACTTCTTGTGCAAAGACACAGAATCCTGTAAGGAGGTGGAATTCATTTAATCTGGTCCCAAAATTCATAGAATTCACTCTGGAATAACTCAATCATATTCAGTATTTGTTATTTTCTTGTTAACTTAACTACTTACCAGACAATACTCCTATGAATCACTTTATTCATATTTAAAACAAGATGGCAGCCTCTTAAAGGGACAGTGTTCAGATTTAGGTCACATGATTGTTCACTATATTTTCACCGCTTCCGCTTTCCGCGAGACGGGGAACTGAAACTGTCATCTATGTTCACCAGACTCCATTTCACTAAAACAGTGATTTTACACAACACGGGAGTTGCTGCCTCCATCGGCTAGTTTGTGAGATTTTGGTGATTACAAACTCTTTAACACCAAAGTCACACAATAACACAAACAAATAGACCGATAAGAGGCAGAAGCTCTGCGAGAGGTAAAAAGACTTTTCATCAAAGCAGTCAGACTTTGAAGAGAGCAAAGATAACGGCTTCAGTTCCCCGTTAGAAAGGTCTCTCTAACCCTAACCCTAAATACAGTGTACACATAAACTGATTTATCTTTTTTAAGTTCTTAAAATACGTTCACAGCGGTACATCGCTTTGCTCCCGTGCTGCTCTGTTTCTCCAAACTCCATCTACTGCAGTCACTGACTGCTGAAGAGTGAGGAAATGTGCACATATACACATACATACACACATATACATACA